TTGTGTGAATGGTGCAGCCAGGGCATCACGGGCCACTGGATTACATTTATAATCTATCCTCAGTACGGAAGGGCTTGTATATTTGACTCTTTGTGGGATACAGACAAAGCAGGGTACAAGCAATTTGAAAGTTGTTTGAGATAGTAAGTGACGGAACTTATTCATTTACAGTTAACATACTTATTGAAAATGTCATTAACACTAGTGGTTTTTCGTATAGCGCTTATAAGAAGTACGTGAAAGATCCCGACTACTATGATCGGAGATCTGAGAAGAAGAAGATCAAGAATGGCATGAAACTGAAACTCAGGCGTGAGTTCCCGGTAAGTACCAATACTACTACTGTTGCACTTCTCCTAATACTACACCTACTACTCTACTCTACTCTAGTACTCCTACTATTACTACTCCTACTAGTACTACTACTCTAATCACTACTACTAGTTCTACTACTCCTACTGATTGTTTATTATATATGCTCTAATGATTGTGTATTATACATCATGCAGTGCGCTAAACAACCCTATGGCTCAATTCTATGTGGATACGTTTGCGAGTATCTGAGGACGTGCAGCAGATTCAGCAGTAGCTGGCGACAGCTCAAGAAAGCACAAGGATGGTGGCAAAGGGAGAAGGTCGACCATGACTTTAGACAAATAGTAGCAGACATATGTAAGTTTGTCACAGAGAGCACACATGAACGGAATACGTTCTTCAACCAGGAAAGCGAGTTAGCATGGGATCCGAAGTTCGATACGATCAGAAACTAGAGCACCAAGTTACGAATCTCATATTACATTCTGTCGGACCTCTTTTCTGGTAAAAAATGATATGTATGAATGACCTTAGTTGCGGATGTACGAATGATTAGAGTTTGTGAAACAATGATGAAGACATCACTAATGTAACAACTTAATGTCAGTTCGTCGAACGAGAATGAATATAATATATGTTTGTCATCTATTTTATGCTTTATCTGTGTTTTCATTAGCGAAATTTTAAATTCTAATTTAAATTCTAATTTGAAAAAAAGCATTTGTTTAAATTTGGAAATCATTAACCGAGGCGGCCAAGTAATAAAAACCGCCTCGGTTAAAATCTTAACCGAGGCGGGCGTCTTTATTCAACCGCCTCGGTTAAAATCTTAAGCGAGGCGGGCACGTTACGACAACCACCTCGGTAATATGTATTAACCGAGGCGGTTAGCTTATGATGCCCACCACAGTTAATCTATTAACTGAGGCGGTTGGCCAACCGCTTCGGTTAAGGCCATGATTAACCCTGACCTTTGTGCCGAGGCGGTTGGCTTGCCCGCCTTGGTTAAGCTAAAATGCCCGCCTCGGTTAAAATTCATGTAGTAGCTCCAGAGACTCTGTATACGCTCCCGTGATGTCCGGTTTAGAGATTTTCTCGGGAAAACTACATCCAACAGCATCGCTACCTTGTTTTCTAAAACCAAGAGTGCTCTATTCTGTGATTCCCAGTCGGGAGAATTGACGAGGGGCGTCTCTCTCCGTCCACCTTTCCTCCATCCAGTCTCATGCATGCATGCACCTTCTTGCACGAGCGCCTGCCCTTTCACGTGCATGTTGTCGTATGGAGTTGAAGCATAGCAGACCTCAGGACGGGCGTCCCCAAGATGAGCTACAAGTTACTCTGATGTTAGTGAAGGTGACCAAGAAAAAACCAAGTTAAGTGCGGGGACATTAAATTAACATGTGGATGATTATCTAGCATAACATACAACTGTAAATTCTTTTATGGTCAATGATGTTTCAGCTATAAATCGTAACCTTTTTCATGTATAATGATTATGATGTGTGATTCGCTTGATGATTGGTTCGTGTTGTGTAACTCGACCACGAAAGATCTTGAAGAGGAGGTGCGGATGGCACTCTCCTAAGGACCTCTCCGTGACGGTCTGTGCTAGAACAGGTCGGTCGAGTGTACGACACCCGGGCTAGTGGGGTTGGCACGGGAAGGACACCCTCACAGCAGGTACCAGATAGGGACCCGCCATATTAATTTACTTAAATGGAGTATCATCCACTTGACCAACTCAATTTAAGCAAATCAACCTCGGTGATCCCTGGGAGATGTCATCCACATCTCCACAATAGCCTCCACAAATAAAGATCACATCTCAGCAATAGAGTACATAAATCAGCGGAAAACATATATTACAAGTCTTATTAAATTAATAATTTAATTGTTACAACATAAATGAAGACATTGATTAAACTAAATACAGTTATAACAAGACAACTACCTTACCACATTACACCTACGCTATGAACTAAGTATAACTAGTAACGGGTGGTCGCCCTTGCCCATGGGCATTGCCACCATAGCTCAGATAGCACCTGCCATTCATCCACTTTGCCAGCATCAACGGGGTGACATGGCCACCAATATCCTCAAGGTACCTGCAAAACAACTTATCAGCGGCACCGTGAGTACATTTCATACTCGCAAGACTTAATTCCAGCATATATATTTGGTGGATGCAAAGGGATTAATAGGCATTTGTACATTTGCATAAAAGCATGGCATTTATTAAGAAGATGATATGCTCATGATTCAACCTTCAAGTCTTTAACATTTATAGTTATGTTGACAAGTAGCAATTGAGAAACATAGTTAAGTGATCAATGTATAAGTCATCTCATCATCAAGTTCCATCATTAGCACTACACTAATTCTAGAAGAGAGAACAACCAAAGGGTTTCATCCCGAAGGACTTCAGGCTTTCAAAAAGATCTCTGCATAGGTTACAACTGTATCCACACGAGCAATGGGACGAACCTTCATACCCATTCCTGATTAAGGGTTGCCTCACGTTTCCAACATTTTACTAGTGTGGCCATGGACGATGCTCATGAACGGTTTGCAAGATGTCAAGGTAGTGATTTTTCATTCCCCTTGCGTCACCTGAAGGGTACCGAGGTAAAGACATCTCCTCGCTCTACCTCTCGTCATCCCCCCTCCCCCGCGTGTACATCGAATCTATGAGAAAAACGGTCACCACTAGCTACTTGGCTTACCAGCCTCATTCTCGGCATGTGGTCTGTATGGGTGGTTACTCAAACTTACTATCCCATGCACGGTCCTTACTTACTCCACAAGCTACGTCACTTGAGATCCCATACTCACAGTTACCATACTCCTCACTTGAGTAGAGATTACCAAATTGATCATTTATTAATTATCTCAAGTTGAAGTTGGTCCTTAGTCACATTGAGCAAATTGAGTCGAGTTGACACCCTTGCAAGTTTTAAGTGATTAATTATCCTAGTGTAGCTCCTACACACGTGAGGGTGAGTTCTCTTCTCACACTCGACTTCTAACGAAACTAGCCACTAAGCAATTAAGCGACCCAAACCCATTGGCTAAGTAAAGGCTATGGTTAATTTAAGTGAGTTGGTCCAGATTAGTGAGTCAAGATTAAATAACTTATCAATTTTTGATGAAATGCAAACTCATAATGAATAAACATGTAAGCATCCGAAATAGGGGTAATAATAGTGTGGGTTGCCTGCCTAGTGGATGAGCAATGCTCTAATAGCTTGGAACATCACTTGATGTCGCTCTGATATCATGTACCTAAATGTATGCACATGTATGAGATGTTATGATCATGTATGCAAGACATTATATAAAATAGAGAACATAGAAGAGATGGCATAAGATGAGAGAGGTTCAGTGTATGGCTCAACTCCTATGTGAGGGCAAGGTGGAATAAATATTATGCTTATGCTTGCTATGACATGTTTAGATATATGTATGATTAAGTATTAAAGACATGGTACTAGGTGTAACATGTGTGTGTAGTATAGCATTACTATGTCGGCTAGCATTCACGGATGCTGCATCTATAGGGACGGACGGTCCATGCATGTTGACGGTCCGTCGACACCTTGGTGAAAGTTTCTAATAAGTGTTTGGCTTCACAGACGCTCTGTCCTTAACCTCGGATGGTCCGTCAGCTTAATTGACAGAACCCGAAGCTAAATGGTTTGGTTTATAAATTCTATAATTCAGAAGGACACTCCGTGGTGATTCACGGACGCTCCGTGGGTTCTAGGACTTAGGTGTTTAAGTGACTAAGTCTGTGTGGTGCTTACGGAACGTTTTGTCAAATGTGACGGATGCTCTATCCTCAATTGGCTGCTCCCATGTTTGAATTATAGCCATTATAATTCTACCGGACGCTCCGTGGGAATTTACGTAGAATATGTCACTTGAGTCTATGATCTCTGAGTTTTCTAAGCGTGTGAATGAAATCATGGAACATTCCATCAGTCGTAAAATCGTTAAGTTGTCTACCTAAGTGTTTTGGTCGTGCATTTGCATCGACGGTACCTTCCCTCAAAAGTGGTGGACGGTCCGTGAGATGCTGGACAGTGCTAGATATTGCATCTTGAATTTGTGATCTTCATCTATAGGTCTTGCATGTTCAATCCATTGCTAGTGTGTGTTACTAAGGTGCTTGAAAGTCCACTAACGTGGGGCATGTGTTTAGAGTGCAAAGATGAAGCTATATATAACCTATTTCCCATTCTCACCAAGATTAGGATATATAAAATGCCTAAATGAGATAACATGAAAACATATGCATTGATATGATGCACAAAACATGCCTCTTATGTAGCACATGCTCAAAGGAGGCTAACAAAATTGGTTTCATGAATTTTGAAGACCTAGAGAAGGACTTATATTTTAAAGAGCAAAAAATGCATTATTTTAGTTCAAATTTAAAATATATTTCTGGCCTCGAAATCATGGTTAGATGGTAGAGAATATTTTGAGTAACTCAGCAAAACTTGTAGAGCTCGACCCCATCCATGGTGGTGGTGGCCATGGATGAGAGGTGAAGCTCCATGGGGGTGGGGTATAGAAATGGGGATGGAGGGGGGAGATGACTTGGGGCATTCTCATCATGTCTGGACGACCTCCACAACAGCAGTTCGGTTTGGGGTGGCTCGAAGGAGTAGATCACCATGGGGCACCTCCATGGGCTTGGGGAAGAAAATGAAGTCTTGGGGGGCCTTCTCCTCCAACTCCAGCGAGGCGACGCCGTGGAGAAGCTTGGCGGTGACGACCTCCAGCAGAGCTCTGGCATGGGTGCTGTACCAAGCTGGGATGAACCCGCCCAGGGGCGTTTGGCTGGAAAACCAGCAGTCCAGCTCCGGCTCCCATGGGCACAATGCTGGCGACCCAATACTTTTAACACCGATGATAAGCGCTACATCTCCTTCTACTACAACTCGACTACTTTCGTGGCATCGGTAGTTGTCATCTTGATGGTCCAGATTAAAGCCCTACTTACACGAAACGCACTGCATGCAGCCATGATATTTGACTTGTTCGGGCTTATGGGTGCATACATTGCAGGTAGCAGCCGAAGCTTGAGAGCCTCTATCCATGTCATTGTCTCGGCTACTGCTTTCCTTGTCTATGTGACCGGGATCTATCTCCATGTCAAGGTGACATCTACTCCTAATACTTTGTAGGTATTAGAGCATCCAAATCACAGCCCTATATACAGTGGCTAACCTAAAGATCAGAGGTAATGAAGAACAAACACAAGAACGCAGAGAACACAAGAACAACGAATGGCAACTGTCAGAGGACAGTGCTATTTTCCATAGATAGTAGTGTTTACATCCACGATTACAAGGTAGTGTTCGACTCATTAAACACACTGAAGTCCAAGCTACTTATACCAGCAGCTTTAAGAGCAGCTTTTTTAGTGAAGCTGAGTTGTTTTGAAAAAAACTGTTTGCTGGACATTCCTTTTAAAGGAGTACATTCCTTTTAAGCTATACATTTTTATATCAAAAGTTTGCTGGTATGAGTGTTATTAGTACAAAACTGCTTTAAAATATCATTTGCAATGTAGCTTTGTTAATACTGCAAACTATAGGCATAGATAGTCTTAAGAACAATTCTTGTTAAGAGTAGAGGCATGTCATAGTTTACATCTTATTTCAGGTGATGCTAAGTTGTGGGTGTTTTTAGTTTAACTTTGATATTTAAAGATATTACCATGTTTCTTCTATATTTTCCTTCTTACTTACATAAAAACAATATGAAATTGACAACGTACAAAACTTCATGCAAAAATAATAAATTTAAGTATTAACCACATTGAATCCAGCTAGAGATGAGAGAGTTGACTAGCAAAAAAAAACTTGTTCTCTAGAATGAAGACCAAATAAAATGATCGTTACATGAATTCTATTTACTAAATGAAAACATTTTAGGGAAGCTAGTCAGATTTGATATTTTTTGGAGAAATTTTGTTTATTATTAGAATTTTGAAAAACATAAGTTGACTAAGAAAACTATGTGTAATTAAGATATACAATCTTTTCAATTTTCCTTCTAAAATTTTCGTTAGATTTAAGTGTATTATTTATTTCATATATGGCATATATTTTTTGTAATTTCATGGTCATTTTTAAAATATTTTTTGAGAAAGATTATTTTTTATTAGATTTCAAATATATAAGTTGACTATGAAAAACAGGTGTAAGATATACAATCTTTTCAATTTTTTACTTTCTAAAATTTTCATGCAATTGAAGTGTATTATTAATTTATGGTATATATTTGTTTGTAATTTAAATGTCATTTTTTACATCACATGCGATTCAAATACGAAGTCATTCAATAAATGTGGATTAAATTTTTTAAATATTGATAAAATATTATTTAAATTTTCAGAAGAAGAATAGAGTCATTCGAAATTTGAATGGATGAGAAATGAAATTTGGAATGGTTTGGCTTCACTTGGTTGTTCGTTTAATTCGGAACTGCAAAAGCGAATTGTGCAAATCGGTCGTGGGCTTTGTTAGCACGTAACGGGCTCATGGGCTACTGGTGTTTGGCTTGTTGGGCGGAGGCCAGGGAATGGATGGAAAGGAGTTAGGCCATGCAATCATCCAATGTCATGTTCATTTGGCTGATAAGCTATGGCTGAAAGTATTGTTGGCTGATTTATTGGAAGAGAAAAATTTTATTCGTTGGCTGAAAAAGTACGGCATATAAGCAAAGCGAACAGAGCGCCCGGCTCTACAGTGTTGCTACAGTTGAGTTCCTGGAGCCGGAAAAGCTGTACCAAAGCGGTCTAAATCGAACATGCATGTCCCAATTTTATGGATGAAAATGGAGCAGAAGATGAGAAGAGAGCGCAGAGGAGTGGCAACTGGGGATGTGGTCAACCAGCAGGCCAAGTGGAAGGCAGGTCCGTCCATGCATGCTTGGCTGGCACCGAGACCGAGTGACGCTGACGCCAGTGGTGACACCAGCTGCGTGCTACTGCTACCTGCATGCATTGGCCTTGGCCGCTTGGCGGGCGTGGCTGTCACCCTCCTCGATCGCTAAAAGTCTACTCGAGAAGGCATTCTATGCGTATGCATGATGACTCGTGAGCTGTTGTTGTTGCTGCTGGGGATTATGGAATTGTAGTGTCGTCCACACCACAGTGGCTGTCCACTTCAGGGCTCGTTGCAAAATGAAACAAGGGACAAGGGATAGAATACCAGCCAATTCATGAACTTGCGTACTCAGTGCACGCTGCCTTGCGTTATTGGCTAAGGTTCATACTATCTAGTACGTATATTTTATTGTGTTGTGCACAAGCATAATACATAACCTTGCAAATATTTTTTACTTGGTTAAATAATCAATATCGAGGTGCAAGCGCACGCAATACGGTCGTGGTTGAACCGTGCCCTAGGAACAGGTTATAGCCAGAATCGGATTACAAAAATAATCAATCTCGAACACATGTGCAAAGTTGTACCATGCTGTTCGCTTACTTATCAGTCATAGTCATGGTATAATGTTTTTTTCTCACCACAAATCAATGAACAGTAATTTTCAGCCTGGCTTTTCAGCGAAACGAACAGGGCAATGGCGCAGTGACAAGGAGCATCCGGCGAGGGTGGGTTACTTTGCCTAGCAACAGACGGTGCCCGCCGGCGGGATCCCCGTCCGGCAGTCCCTCCGAGTACGTAGCGACAAGGCGACACCTTTCTGTTTCTGCCCCGCGCCGAGGTTGGCTTCTTGTGGTGTGCCGGAGCGCCGGATCAGGAAGGGGAGGCCCGCCGGACGGCCGTAGCGCCACCCAGACGGCCAGACCCAGCATGTACGCAACGACCAACCACACCCACGTCGTCCGATCGGCTCACTGCGCGCACTGCTTGCTTCATCAATCAGTCATCGTCAGCCACGGACACACGAGACGACAGAGGGGGGAGGGAGAAGCTGACAGACATACACGGTACACCCAGCCCCAGCTCTTGAACTCGGCGTCGTCGTCCTCCTCCTACATGACACTGAACGCCAGCGCAGCCATAGCCCCCACCCAGTCCCTGCCAGCCGAGGCGAGCTCACCGACGACGCCATGGCTCTCGTACCCAGTGAGTAAGTGACCACTGAGCACTAGCCAGTCCGTCCGTGCCGTGCCGTGGCGTTCGCCGCCTCTTCTACCCGTCTCATCGGCGCGCGTAATAACCATCCCCACGGCCTCGCTCAGGCTTGATTTCTGGTGGAGACAGACCCTGCGGGCGCGCTGACATGCTCTTGCTTGTTGTTCCTGCAGTCGCCTGCAGCCGCTGGCGACGAGCGGCGCCGCGCCCGGGCGCTACGTGACCTCGGGCCCCGTCGGCGGCGGGGCCATGGGGATCTACGAGCGGCAGCGCCACCTGGTGGCGGCCGGCGTGTGGGGGGAGCCGTTCCGGCCCGACGCCGACGCCGTGGCCCTGCCCCTGCCCCGGCCCCTGGCCGCGGTCGCCCCCACGGTCACCGTGGCGACGACGCCGGCGCCGCTCGACGTCGTCGAAGCAGAGGAGGTCAAGTTCGGCAAACGCCTGGTAATAATTATTCAAGCGCCGTCCCCTGACCCCTGTGTGCTGCATCGCAGCTCGATGCGATTCTCCGTCTCCTCATGGATTCAGATAATCATCACTGGTGGGCCGTGGTTTGTTGCAGTTGCAGGCACAGCAGGACGACGTCGCGCCGCCGGTGGAAGAAGAAGCGCCGCCGCCGCCGTCGGATAGCTTCGGCCACGACGACGACGCCAGGCCAAGAGACAAGGTGAGACGGACCCGACTGATGAGTGATGAGTCGGATGAATTATCCGCAGGCACGAGAATTCCTCGATCGCTGATCTTCGCCCTCGCTCTGCTTTGCCTAGATTCAGAGACGGCTCGCGCAGAACAGAGAGGCAGCCCGGAAGAGCCGGCTACGGAAGAAGGTCAGCAGCGTCTCAGCGAAGAGCCAACACTCATCGCGTGCCAAGCAAATCTTCAGCAGATGGCCAGCGCCGTGGGCAAGCTCGCCGACCTCGTCGACTTCGTGGACAAGGTGACTGACTAGCCAGTTGCCACTGAGCAGCAGGCGAAACCAAAATCTTTGGCATTGGCACGCTCGATCGGTGTACGGCCTCTTGTTTCTGACCGACCGACCTCGACGTTGTTGTCACAGGCGGACCATGCAGACGCCGCGGCAGGCGGCGTTGGGGCTGCTCGCGCTCGCGGACTACGGCCAGCGGCTGCGCGCGCTCAGCTCGCTCTGGGCGGCGCGCCCGCGGGAGCCGGCGTACGCGTAACGAAACACCCCGCGATGGCTACGGCGACGGCGAACGCGAAGAGGCACGTGCGCGCGTGGTTGGCTTTGGCTGCCGCCCGGAGCGGCCGGCGGAGCAAGGCTGCTGCGGTCAGTGCCTCGGTTTTCCTTCCAGCTCTGCGCATCTGGTATTCTGGTGCGGGCAAGCGGCGTGTTCTGTTGGCTCTCAGAATGAAACCTGAATCTTCTAATGGTTACAGTTACAGCAGTGAATTAGGCTTTGGATTTGATTGACAGATCAAAGAAATTACAGGTGTAAATACAGTATACAAAGTTGTTTGGGTAGGAGTAGGACAGGCTTGTATTGTTCAGTTGCTGTTTGTCTCGGTCAACCTGTAAACAGATCATGTGAAAGATGTACAATGAACAGTCTATGGAATGCTAGAGTTACACAGGTTTGTATGTCAACTATCCTAAGGTTCGTTTAGATGCAGATATTGGACGACTGATGCTAAAATAGGCACGAATGTCAAATTAGATTACTGGTATTGAAAATGGGCTACAATTCACCGGAGCTTTCATCAACTTCCACGTGCATGGTCTCATTGAGGCAGCGGATGCGATGGTAGAACCTCTTAGCGAGGCGTTTCAGGACATCACTTTATTCTCACCGTTATAAAATGGCATTTATCAATTCAGCACAAAGCTTCTCTATTTCTGTCACCCTACTGTAACAGAACCGACTAATTTACAAGAGCACAAGTACAATGGCAGCCCGCAAACGGTCGTACTGTCATACTTGAGCCCATATAAACCCGATAGTACGTCGAGTACCACGAAAGGTCTCGATTCAACCAACATACAACCAAAATCGTACATGATTCAACATACATATCATACGCTACGTAAAGTTTACAAATTCATCCATTGAACAGGGCACAGAGTTGCCGAGGCCTTCGTTACTTCGCCGTGCCGTACATAGGAGACCACCGGCCACGGGTGCTGCCAGTGCGTACCAGGGCGGCGCAGTGGCGGCAGGGTTGGAGGCTTGGAGCTCTCTGGCAGTTGACGGGATGAGGGGAACCGCTGATGCGGCTGGCCATAGGGATGCCTCCGTCAGGCCACTCAAATCCGAGAGGCCCGCTGGGCCTGGCTGTAGACATGCTTCGGCCCCTCGACGAGACGAAAGCCCCCTTTGGCACGGCTCATTCAAAACGGCTTCACCGGTGAAGCCAAAGCCGGTGAAGCCAGAAAAACTGGCTTTTTCCAGCTTCTAGTTCATTTTAACCTCAGCTTACAAAACGGCTTCACGCTACAATGTCTCGATTTGCGCAAAATAGATGAAGTCGAAGCCAGCATAAGCCATGTCAAAGAAGCCCGAAGAAACGTGGTAAGGTAGCTTCGGTAAGCCTACTTAGAGGGTTGGCCAGAGATGGCCCAGTAGGCAAACGCCCCAATTCCATATGCACAGGCCTAAAAAATACCACGACACAAACACAGAGCGAAATGCTGAAACAGAGACGACGCAGTACACCACCTACAAAACAAAACAAAAAAACGCATTCCTGACTATGGTCGTTGTTATTCCATACTAGTTTGACTGGCGAAAGGTCAACAATCCAACAGTGCCCATCCATCCATCCGACCATCCCGGTGCATCCTACCGGCCGCGAACGCTGGCCATAGCCAGGGAAAGACCGCCGACAAGGGCCGCGAACAGCCCGAACGCCGCCGCTGGGCCGACGGTGCTGGCGGCGAGTGCAGTGGCAGCTGAGGAGGCAACGACGATGCCCAACACAGCTGAGAGGCTGCCGCCATGTTCGTGTCCGTCGTCCGCGCCGGCTGCCTTCACACCGACCGCGGTCGGATCCCCGGCCTTGCCGCCCGCGGCCGCGTCGACCGAGACCTGCGCGTCCGTTCAAAGGTTAGGTGAGCGGCCAGGACTGAGCTCTGCTCCACTGAAAACAGAGGCAGCGGCAATTGAACGCTGTTGCATGGCGTCTCGAGAAACTGCACGTGCACAAGCCCAGATCACCTGCACGGCGTAAGTAGGGGAACGCGGGGCGCGTAACTCCTCCGCGGCGGGCACGACGTTCTCAGGCGGCAGGAGCACGTCGTAGTAGTAGACGCTCTGCTCGGTGACGAAAGGCACCGCGTCCTCTCGTGGGGACGCGAGGCCGTCGGAGCAGCTGTCGAGCGCGCGCGGTCCAGCGATGTGGTCGTTGCCGAGGAGGAGCGCGACGACGGGCGCGGCGTTCTCGCGCGTCAGGAGGCTGTTGTCGTAGAACGCGCCCATATAGCCGTGGGCGGCGCGTACCTCGTCGCCAGAGTGGCCCATCCAAGCGTGCGAGAACCCTTTCTCCTTCTGGAACAGGCTTCCCTCCTTGTCGCCGAGCACCTGGAGCCTTGACGCGTCCAGGTGGACCACCACCGTGCCGTCCTCCTCCATGAGCTACGAAAGAAAAGACAAAACGATCAGGCACAGCACGTTGCTCTGTTCCGACCGGCAGGTAGAGCTTGTACCCGCAGGATGAGGAGCTCGGACTCCGAGTAGTCCTTGACGGCGTCGCTGTTTCCATCGCCGGCGAATTTGACGGTCGGCTCGTCGTTGGTCCCGGAGGAAACCAATCCAGGCAGCTGGCGGCGGAGTCCCTCCTCCGGCACGACGTCGACGGGGTGCGCGGCGTGGTACCGCCGCGCGTCTCCTTCGCCTTCGCCACGCAGGGGCGCCGCCACCGGTGCGGCGCTGGGAGGCCGCGTGGCGGCACCCGCACCGTGGCCGCTAGCGCCGGCTATCTGCCGACGGAGTTCCTCCGGCAGGTCCTCGAAACGGACGACGGCAAAGGGCTGGTAGTAGCCTGCGCCGGAGGGCAGCGGCTTGGCTCGCACCACCAGGCGGCCCGCTTCGATCCCGCCGTACGCGCTCGGCATCGCCTCCGGACGCGGACGCGCGCGGTCCTCGAGGTCCCCGCGCGCTCCGGCGGCCGTGCCAGCCTCGGGCATCAGCCCCTGGGCCATGCTGTTCCGTGCAGTGGGAATGTGGGGGTGTCTGGACTCTGGAGACCCGGGGAAGGGGAGCAGTGGCCAGTGGGGGCTGTGGGGCGTGTCTCCGTTTGGTGCGGCGGCCGTAACCTTTATGCTTTCTCGGGTGTCGTCAGGTGACGGAGACGCCGGATCCGGCCGGCCGGCCGCAGCGTACGACTTTTCTGCGCCGTGGCCGGGGGGAGAAGACTAGGCAGCTATTGGTATTCTGGTTGCTGGTCGGCGTGCACACGTGGCAGCTGGATGCCTTGGCGCGTGGCGTGGCTAGTTGGCTTTATCCGTGGGATCCTGACCGCGTGACGCCACCAATTACCAAAGCTGGGTATCGTGCAAGACTTGCTAGTCCACCGGCAACGTCCATGTCGGCGTTTTATAAGGCGTTTGTGCTGTTTTGAACGTTTAATTTGTTGAAAGAGAAAAATATTATACTCTGACTGTAACCACGAACACCGCATGCATGCATGCATCCCTCATTGGCCTATTGGTGTGCCCATCATCCGTTCTTATGCTGCGCTTCCGTTCAATTCCATGCATGCTTAAAAGCATCCCAATCACCCATCACTACCCAACACTATACACACACTCACACACACATAGACAGCTTCCTAGGGATGGCAATGGCTTTGTTGCCCGTTGTGAGCTAGCTAGCACACCCGCCCATGTGATGTAAACAATGTGAGTTTTTTATGGGTACAACTTGGACGTACACAACGTACACTCTACATTCACACCACACGTACACACATGCGTGCGCGTCCGTACACACGCAAAGAAGAGATTGGGAAGCGTACCACCGAACGGGCACACGTGTGTGTCGGGTATCGATAGTAGGGATACCCAAACCAAAGAAGTTAGCGCCCACGCTGACTTCTCCGGATGGCTCAAGACATATTAAAAGGTCTCGTCCGACCCTAAGACCGCGGGCCCTGTCTCGCCCGACCCCAAGGACGCGGTCTCCGTCTCGCCCGACCTCAAGGCCGCGGGCTCCGTCTCGCCCGACCCCTTGGGTGCGGGCTCCACCTCGCCCGACCTCGGGTTCCGTCTCGCCCGACCTCGAGGCCGCGGGCTCCGTCTCGCCCAAGGTCGCGCGCTCTGTCTCGCCCGACCCCTTGGGTGCGGGCTCCACCTCGTCCGACCCCAACGACGCGGTTTCCGTCTCTCCCGACCTCGGGCTCCATCTCGCCCAAGGTCGAGGGCTCCGTCTCGCCCGACCTCGAGGACGCGGGTTCCGTCTCGTCCGACGGGGACCCATACCACCGCCAACCACTCCAGGTCCAAACGTATGGGCCTGGGTCAAAACTCTGACGCTAGAGAAGAGGCTGGCACGCCTCGATGTAACCCGTAGCCATGACAGGCCATACCTGGGGATTCACATCAAGAACAGTGTCGGACGTGACAGTGCTATTCTGCCTAACCCTCGTACGAACGCTGACAGGCGCGTCAGTTCACCACGACGTCCGCCGGGACGGAGTGGAACTCCATGACTGGCAGATGAAGCCTGCGCGTGGCGCCAGTGACGAACAATGCCGCGACATGGAGCCATCCCTGTTGACATCCATAGGATCAGTGGGACCCGCATGAAGGAGAAGAAGGACCCGGCAACCCTGGAAGGCTTCTTCTCACTCTCGTTCTTCTACTTTTCCTCCTCTGTAACCCGCGCTTTGCCTTTGCCTATAAAAGTGGAAGCAGGGCGACCTACGCTGGGGGCAAAAAAACACAAGAGCACGACACGAGCACACGGCTGAGCAGCAAGCGAGCTCTCAGCACCC